AAAAAAAAAAAAAAAAAAAAAAAAAAAAAAAAAAAAAAAAAAAAAAAAAAAAAAAAAAAAAAAAAAAAAAAAACTAAGTATATTAAGATTGATTAACTTATTCCCCTTTGAGATGAATATATACTTCGCTTATGAATTTTAGTAAGATAAGCAGGAGTACTTCGGTAATTAGCTTTAACTCCGAAGCGTCAATCTGGATGAGAAAAATCGAATGTGCATGTGATGAAAATCAACAGATTGTACAAACTAATAAGTACGTAGAATAATTCAGACTTACCATCATATTAACCCAGTGAATGAAATCCATTCCTCGATTCTGCAACAGTTGATTCGCCGCGGGACCTTATTAAATAGATATGAGATCGCACGCGTTGCATGTGACATAAAAATAATACAATCTTACCATAAAGACAGTCAAGCAATACTTGTAACATTTCTGGAAATGCATTTGCTGCCGGTTTAGACATGCTAAGATAAAGCAGTATTTTGGATTTAAGGACCGGTGATGCCGGCCGACGATACGATTCATGTCGAACTGTTTACGTAAGATGAATGAATTCACATGCATACTGTATATAATTCCTAAAAAATTTGGCACTCGCCATAAATTTTACGTACACGGTAAGTCAATTCCTCGATATAACGAATACAAACGATCTACCATCTACGTATAAAACTCTTGATTAATAAATTTAACGTTTTTCTTTGTTACTACTTATTAACGTATACGAACCTCTTTCGCCTCCCAATTCAATTTTTTCATTTTCTTAAGGCATTCGCTGCTAATTTTGACCACTTCGTCTAAAGGATCACAGGTGGCGACCAATAGTATTGAAAATCTGATCGAGCAAATGCCATTTGATAACGAATCAGGAAATATCACCGGGGAGTTAATAAATCGAAGAATCGCTAGCTATATATAAAAAAAAAAAGTCTTTTATGTAAATGGTTAATAAATAATAAATCTGCAAGCAAAAGACAAAAGATCAACCTTGACAGATCTGAGATCCTGAATTTCTGCCGTCCACAATGCTTTTCCATCATCGATGATAAATCTCAATGCTTCTTTATTTAATCCAGGAGGAATATCGTAACTTAAATGCATTGACAAATTTTTAATTATTCCAAAAAGAAATAAGCAAGAATAACACAACCTACACCATGTATGTGCATACCTAGAATCCGATTCGCCACTAAACAGCTGCGGAGAATTGTACAAAATAACGTCCAAAAAAAAGTTTCAACAACGTCTCAGCATCTTCAAGATGTAACTTAAAATTGTATAAGTCCGATGATGGGAATGAATCGGGGGGTTTTGATTTTTGCAAGACCTGGAAATATAATTGGCGTTACAACAAACTTTCATTTAGAATAAGTGACATAGCATCGACTTAAATCAATCTTACTCCAAGAATCAGGTGAAATAACATTTGCTTCTGAACAGGAGACTCCAAAGAAATATTTTTAATTAATAATGACATATGAATGATTCGGTCCTAAGAATAAATGTTTTTTATAGAACGAAAATTGATGTAAGTTGTTCTTTCAAGGGGTAGACCATATATAGCATACCTCCTCATTTAGATGTTCATAAGCCATCCTGAGATATATAGCAGTGAAGTTCTTGATAAAATTTGATTTCATTGCATTTTTTGATCGAACTAGTTTAACAAGAGACTCCAGTGGGAGTTTTATGTTATTTTTGGATCGAATTATCTTCGTGACATGTGACAATACGTTAACAACCTTGCACATTGAAATAGGAGTCAGTCACCATTCACTTATATTGCATACAGTGTTATATAGATATTTTACCTTCATTCTCACAATATTATGGGGCGTTCCTAATTTTTGTAGAAGAGGAATTAAGAAGGCTTCCAATGCTCTTTCTAATAGAACATCTGTCTTGGCAAGAGAAAATCGAAACTCGATACTCCCTAGAAACTCTGATTTGAACGAACGAGGTTTGAATGAGCATAGGTATAAAGTAAATGTGACAAAACAGATGCACCATATAAATAATGAAAAAGAACAAAATTAACGACACTCGACCTATATCCTTATATATTTCCGCGTTGTCTACCTTCGAAGAAATGCTTAGCATTGCGAATATGGGCGATTCCATTGATTTTGTTTCTAATAATTTTCTTATTTCAAGGAGAAACTCTTCACATTTACCAATTTTGAAATAAATCTCTGTACGATACTTCAACGTTGATAGATCATCAGGTTCGATTTCTAATGACCTATTAAAATCTATAAGTGACTCTTCATATTTTCCCATCATAAAGTAAGCCTCCCCACGGCTTTTTAATGCCCATGCGTCGTTTGGATTAATCTTCAGTGATTCATTTAAATCTTTAAGAGAATCTTCATATCTATTCTCTAGTCGGCGAGATTCACCGCGATTTCTTAGCACTGATGCCAGCGCGATATCAAATTCCACACATTGCACGTCCACGAACGACTTTTCCTTTGTTTTATGTTCTTTGGACACATTTTCCAAATAAAGACAGACGTTCACCATTTCTTGCATCTCTAATGTCCACGTATCATGTGGATCAACCTCTAGGGATCGTTTCAAATCTCCAAATGTCTCTTTATATCTTCCCATTAAAAAACGAGCTTCTACATGGTTACGTAATGCGAACGTATTATTTGGATCGATCTCCAATGATTTATTGAAATCAATAAATGACTCTTTATATTTTTCCATCTTGAAATAAATATTACCACGAATTTGCAGTGCAAACACGTTTCCAGGCTCTAGACTTAATGATTTATTGAGGTCTGTAAGTGACTGTTCTTGCTTTCCCATCAATAAATATATCGCACCACGCATCCTCAAATCGAACACATTATTAGGATCTGTTTCTAATAATTTCATCAGATCCTCAAGTGATGCTTGGTATTTGTCAATTAAATGGATTTCGTCGAGCATTAGCGACTCTTGGTCATCATTTTGTTCTATGTTTAGAGACTCGTCAGGCTTGCATGTTTCCACGAGAATTTCTTTGCATTTCTTTAGTCTCGATGCAAGAGTTGGTTCCATTTCAATGATTTTATTCAGGTCTAATAATGATTGCTTGTATTTTCCTATTGTCATGCAGACCTCAGAACGTAGTATCAGGGCGAATTCGTCATTTTGATTGATCTTCAACAGCCTGTTTAAATCAGACAGAGACTTTTCATACTGTTCCATCGCCAAAAAAGCTTCTGCACGTAATAACAAAGCAAACAAATAATTTGGCTCTATTTCTAACAATTTGTTCAAGTCTACTAATGATTCGTCATATTTTTCTGACATTAGGTAAGACTCAGCACGTAACAACAAGGCAAAACGATTATTTGGTTCGATTTTTAACGATTGACTTAGATTCGAAATAGATTCTTTGTAATTTTCCATCATGCGATATGTTTCTCCGAGGCTTCGTAATATGAACGCATCGTTTGGCTTAATTTCCAGAGATTTATATAAATCCGCAAGTGATTTGTTATAATCTCCCATCATGCGATGAACTTCTCCGCGATTTCGTAAGATAAGCGCATCTTCATGTTCGACCTCTAATAATCTGTCAAAGTCCTCAAGTGACTTTTCGTACATTCCCATTATTAAATAAGTCACTCCGCGTGTCCCCAATAAGGTCATATCATTTGAATGATTTTCGAATGTTTTGTCCAACCCCGCGAGAAATTCCTTATAGCCATTCATCGCACGAAAAGTTTCTTCCTGAATTCGTAAAATCCATGAATCATTGGATCTGATATTTAATGATTTATTAAAATCTTCAAGTGACCTTTTGTAATTCCCCACTAGACAATGCGATGCGCTACGAATATGAGATGCGTCAGTATCGTTTGGGGTGATTTCAAGTACTTTGTTTAAGTCCGAGAGCGATTGTTCAAATCTTCCCATAGACTGAAAAATGATACCACGGAAAAACAATAACGAGCAATCATCTGGTTCTTCCTTTAATAATTTATTCAAGTCAGGGAGGGCTTCCTCTCTTCTCTCAGTTTGGAAGAAAATCGATACACGTTCCCGAAGAGCCAACTCGTCTGCGGGTTTAATCTTTAATAATGCAGCAAAGTCTGAAAGCGACTCATCATATCTTTCCATTAATTTGTAAATTTCTCCGCGTTCTCTTAACGCTTCCACATTATCATTGTGAATTTCTAGATATTTATTTAGGTCAACCAGCGATTCCTCGTATCTTTCCATCAACCGATAAACTTCCGCGCGAATTTTTAACGCGCGTAAATTATTTGGCTCAATCTCTAAATATTTATATAAATTTTCAAGAGACTCGTCGTACCTTTTCATAAATCGATAAGCTAATCCGCGCATCTTAAACACTGTCGCACAAGTCGGCATGACTCTTAACAATGCATCTAAGTCAGAGATCGCCTCTTCGTATTTTTCAAGCTTAATGTAAGTTTCTGCACGTCCCTTTAGTGCAATTTCATCATTGGGATCCATTATCAAAGATTGACTTAAATCTTCGAGCGCACCCCCGTAATATCCTATCGATTTGAATACTAGTCCCCGAATTTGAATTAGAGATTTGTGATCGAGGAATTAAATGAATGCTCAATGATTCATTTAATTCCTCGATCACTTTATGAAATTCTGACCGTGAAGTAGAAAGCATTTCTTCGTAAAGGCCTTGAAACAAAAAAGACACATCGTGGCCTTCAAAATATCTAGTTAAATTGTCAAATGATCTTTTTAACTTCTGGATCGTTTCGTGAACCTTCAATGCATAATTATCGTTTTGCTTGATATTTTTTAGCTTTCCCAAATCATCGAATACTTCTTTGCACCCCTTTGCCGACTCGAGTCCGTGATAAATATCATCAATTGACTTTTCATATCTTCCCATCATCCAATAAATTTCCCCACGACATCTATAAGATGATTTATCGGTTGGATTAATTTCCAATAATTTGTTAAGGTCTTCAATAGCTTTCTCGAGGAATCCCAACAAATAGTTGGCCTTCCAGCTAATACCATACGCTATAGCACTTTTGGAGTCAATAGTCAACACCTTTTCTATGTCCTCAAGTGATTCTTCGTAACAGTCAAGCATGAAGTAAGATTCTGCTCGTGCGGTCAGCACAATGTTATTCATAGGTGCTAATTTCAATGCTCTGGTTAAATCCGTCAAGGATTTGTCATAACGCTTGAGCGCTTTGAAGGCTATTCCACGCATTAATAAGGCGTACACATTGGTTGACTCAGCATCCAATATGCGGTCAAAATAAGATATGACTATTTCTAAAGGATCTTTATCCAATTTACTCATATTTGAGATTACCAGCTCATACGTAAAAGGGCGGACAAATATGCTACGCATTATGATGG